AAAGTTCTTAAACTGAAGTGAGGTTGGAATGGCACCAATCACAGCAGTTGTCCTTGGCCAGAACAAACCAGATTTATTTTGGTCTGGCAGCCAGACGAGATGTGCATTATCTGGGAGCATGATCCAATTTCGATCATAATGGCAGAATTTTAACAGTATATCATAGGAGTCACAAGCATCCCACACTCTGACTGTCTTGTCATCAGATCCAGAGACAATGTGCCTGCCATCAGGAGAAAATGCAACTGAAGTAACCCAAGAATCATGGCCTTTGAGAGGATCCATGACACTCTGACCTGTTTGAGCATCCCAGACTCTGACTGTCTTGTCACCAGATCCAGAGACAATGTGCCTGCCATCAGGAGAAAATGCAACTGAAGTAACCCAAAAATCATGGCCTTTGAGAGGATCCATGACACTCTGACCTGTTTGAGCATCCCACACTCTGACTGTCTCGTCATGAGATCCAGAGACAATGTGCCTGCCATCAGGAGAAAATGCAACTGAAGTAACATAATCATCATGGCCTTTGAGAGGATCTATGACACTCTGACCTGTTTGAGCATCCCAGACTCTGACTGTCTTGTCACCAGATCCAGAGACAATGTGCCTGCCATCAGGAGAAAATGCAACTGAAGTAACCCAAGAATCATGGCCGACAAGTCTGAGGAAACATTTCTCTGACCAATGTTCCCTTTGACCAATCTGCACAGTCAATGTCTTCTGAAATAACTTCAGAAAATTCAAAGAGATCTTTGAACTTTGTGGAGCAAATGGCAGTGCTGACAAATAAATATGTGGTGCTGCTTCAGATATTGGTGCCAAAAATTCCATGACAAATCTATTTGCATCTTTTGCAAAGTCTGATAAGCTAGGTTTTGAAACCTACATTATTTTCATATCAGTATCATAGTAAATTATACATATCTTTACTCACCTTGCTCCAATTTGCAGTTGACAATAATAGTTGAGCAGCATGGTTTACAGTTCCCATCAAGCTCATAATTTCTAGCCAGTGTAAAAGATGGACCATCAAAAATGTCTCCAATGCTTCCTGAACTTCCAGCTGTAGTGTTTTATCACAATCCTCCTGCAGATAGCTGGCCCAGAAGTAGCTTGCATGATCTAAGGCTGTAGATTTGACACTCTCAAGGTGGTCATTGAGCTCTGGTATGTTTTTGTTCAAAATATAGGATGTTTTTAGATCAAAGAAGTTAAACCTTAGTTTTGCATTCAGAAGTTTCAAACAAGACCCAGCAAAGCAGAGACTATAGAATCGAGGATCAAGCCACAAGTCTTGAGAGTGCTCAAAATCAAGAAGAAAATCTGCCACTGACTGGTGGCAAATATGCAAATAACCTGCATCACTGATGGATAAAATTGGGCTGAGTTGACCCAGCATTGAATTTAGTAACACATCTTTTACTTCCAGAAGCTCAGTTAGATCTTTGATACGAAGTGGATTCTTTGCAATGATTATTGAACCCAGAACCAACTTTAAACTGGTTTTCTCTGGTTTTCTGAGACCTTGCAAAGCAACAGAAATAATCTGATGATACAGTATGTCAACAACATCAATTCCTTCTCCAGAATGAGCAGAAATGATATTTAGCCTCTCTTCAGGATCACCTCCATCAAACAAGATAAAATCCATTGCAGATTTAGCCCAGACAAATAGTCCAGCAGCTTTTCTCACAAGAAATGATATTTTGTCTGGACCAGGCCACTTTGGAGGCAACCAATTTGCCTCAGAAAACCTTGCAACAAAGTATTTTTCAAGGTCATCATAAGTCTGAGCAGAGACCTCATGTCCAGTATTCAGATTATGATAAACACTGACAGATCTTAGTCTACTCTGAATCTTAAGATAATTGCGGCTTGTAATGAGGAGTTTCAAAGATTTAGAGAGATGAGACCAGGATACTAATGAAGGCAGCAGTTTCTCATATGAATCACATTCATCAAGAGCATCAACAACAACAAGAAGAGGCTCCACAGCAGCCCCAAAAACTTGTTGTAAAGGCTTGACAATAAGATGCTCAAATTGCATAGAAATATCAAGGCCTCTGATGTCAGCTTTCTGAGTCTCCAATGCCTGAGTGATAGACTTTCCAAAATCACTAGATCCTGAAGAAAAGTCCAAAGCAATACGTCTCCATAAGTTGTCTGGATCCCGAAGCTCAGCCTCATCACGACGGAAAAAGAATTTCCCAGAGAGACAGTCAAAATCAGCAACCACAGTTGAAGCAATTGTTGTCTTCCCAGAGCCAGGACTGCCAGAAAGCCAGAAAATATTAGGCTCATTCAGATCATTAACCCATGTGTTAATAAGAGTGAGTACATCCTTCCGGGTCCCAGGCATACACCTGTCTCTTACTTTGCCATGTGATGGAGCCTTGAGCTCTTGCAGCCATTTTTGTGCCTAGATTGTTTATTAATGATGAGAGATAGTGATAGATTTTACCCAATTTATAACTTACATTTGACTGCTCTCCTATATCTGCTATTTTGGCCTGAACTTCTCTGTTGTCACTCATATTGATCTACAGTATACCAATGGTTTTAAGAAAGGGGCACTACAAACAAGCTGATTACTTACAGTATTATTGAAGACACCATCATTAATTTGAAAATCATGTGCCTGAGTAAACATATTGGCCTGAGCCACTTCAGAAGAAAAAAGGTTATCAAGAAATTGTATCAGAAAGCAAGTGTACATACCATTTTTTGTTGTTGTGGGCCTTTCAACAACATTTCTTCTCACAATAGACATGTCATCTTTGTTGGGCTCAGTCATTATGGGACCTTCCCAAACACCCCTCTTGACATCTGTACAAATAAAAGTATAATACCATTAAATATTTATAACTTGACTCACCTGGTTCTTGTGAACATTCCTCAACACTGAGACAGACATGAAAGTTGGGCTGAATAATCAATGAATGAGATGATAAAGAAAGGTGAATATGTATGATATATACTCACAAGTGCATTTAGTTTGACCTGGAAATCTGCAATATATTCTTGATCCTTTCTAAAATTGGCCAATCTCTTGTATGGACTCTGTTGTTGGATCTTGATCACATCTTCTTTCAATGGTCCAAAATGCTAGTGCATGACTTCAATCAAGGAGGTATCCACAATAAAACCAGTAAAACCACACACCCTCTCAAATTATCGAAATTGGGTTGCAACGTCAACAGGATTTGACTCTCGTTGTATTGACAGGTAGCCTGAACAATTCCCGCCATCTTCTCAATGAAACTCGCAGAAAAAGTGGCCCAATCCTTCTTATTGATCTTGAATTTCTGACGTTGTCGCATAGATAGACGGATGGAATGGTTGAAGTAGGGACACACACCTTAACGATCCCAATGATGACTAATGCCTCAACGACCGCTGCTTTCAGAGGTGGAAAGGTGTCGCGAGACACAGCGACAACCTCGAGCGCAGAAAGACCGCGGCCGCCGATCACTTGCAGAACGTCGTTTCCCGCGGGATTTAACCCAGTAGTATTCATATTGTTGGTGTCGTTGGTGTCGTTGGTACCGATAGTCGCGTTTGCGTTCATGATGATGGTGGTTGATAACAAGAATGTTAGAGCGTCAATCAAACGTCAATGACAATTGCCTTGAGGGTGTTGTAGTCATGTGACCACAACTCGACAAAATATTATAACATCTTTTGTACCAAGAACTGCGACAGGAGATTATGGGTCAAGCTAGGTCCCCTTCCTACAATCTCTTAACCGCTCTTGCTACTGAAGGCCAGTTGCTCCCCCAAAGCACGGATCTGCACAATGCAATCCTCCCACTAACGCTACCGATTGCTGTTATCCAAACTCACACCTCAACTCGAACTAACGCTCCCTTTTCGTTGTCCCATTGTCCCCACCCACAGGAACTCGAGACTACCGAACTCGGTAGCCGACCACGGCCTTCCACAGCACTAGACACATGGCCTATGGTGAAGCCAAACCACGCTGCAGCACGTCGTTACTGAGAAGCCACAGTGCTCCACAACGCAGACGAAACCCAGCTGCGGCTGCCCCGCCTGATTCAACCCTCAGGCAGCAATCCCTGCCCCATGACGACGTCCAACATCCGCCGGAAGTTGACCTCCTTGATCGTATGTCACCCGTACGATCGTCCTCCGTCCCCTCTCTCGGATGCGAAGTGTCCGGCAATTAGCCGTTCCACCGCCCACCCAAGCATTGTCAATCCGGGGCGTTACACGTCACCTCGCAGGCCATCTGTTAATAAGAAGCGCACTGCAGGTTTGAGGAATTGGGGCTCTAGATCGGACTGGTGAGAAAAAAGGAGCGGAGTAGATGAGATCTCACCTACCAAATCAAATCGATTGGCCGACCACAGCCGGGCCCCATATAGTGCTAACGAGCTGAATGGAAGACTGAGATGCCCAGTCCCCGAACAACCCGCGGTATTCGAGATCATGGCCCCGCCGAACAGGTACTATCGATCCAACTTGAATTCTGGAGACCTGAGGGCACATCAGCAACGGCTGAGATTTTAACATTGAACGAACCTACATCCTCCAAGTATCCGACGATCCCTGCTGTCCACGGTCATCTGCCACATCAGTACACAGGGTTGTGAGGCTTGCCGGGTGATGATCTTTGAATGCTGTCTCGTTTTCTTGAACTCCCTAGTGGGCAGCGTGAAAAGTTGACCCTCGCCATCCAAAATGGTTTTAACTATGAGGAGGGTTAGATGAAAGCGACGAAGAGTCTAGATGATCCTTACCTGCGTTGAAGTAGCGGTAAAGAACCTCTCAGGAGAAATGGAAATGGGCGCCCGTGAGCGGATTGCGATACACAGTCCTTGGTGCTAGATAATGTGTGTATGAGTGGAAGACGGATCTGAAAGACAGAGTATTCCTCACCGTTGTTCATCGGTCCATCAAGATTATCTACACATCTGAGATTAGTGCACTCGATAGCGTCCTGTAAGCTTCATTGGTGGAAATCGCGGCCATGGCCTTCATTGAACAACGATGAGGATGCGGCAAAAGGAAAGGAAGAGTGTCGGGAGGCGTGTGGCAGACGAACCGACATCGGAAACCCCAGGATCGCGGCCTGTTAGAGGCAGTCGAAAGTCTACGCGAAAATATTGTCCAGAAACAGATGGGGACGTCGAAATAGTCACGTCAGATTGATTCTGGACTGACGAAATGAGATGAGAATGTTAGCAGATGAGAAATGAGGACGTACTCATTAGGTGGCATGGTGTCGAGGGGGTGGCTCGACAACGCCTTATCCTGAAACGGCGCGATGGGCCAGATGATGGGCCCTCACGCGCACGTAGAGCAGAGAAGGTGAGCATCCTGGCCAAATCCTGGCTAGGAGACTGATGGTTGTGACGAACGAAGTCGTGATTGATCTTCTCAGGTTGTCAACCAGCACACGTGACGCTCTCCCAACACCACGATTTGGCCACGATGGAAAAAGTTGAACCCTTCCCTAAAGGCGTGGTAGTCTCATCAAGCGCCGAGCAGACTGCTAGTATTGATCACGAATTTTTCTGCACACGCAAGAGCTGCTGTATAGATGGACTTATTATTAGTTTGAGCGGTTCTTCCTGGGCTCCTTCAAGCTATAACACCCGCATTTCATCCGAATACTTACCAGAAGTGGCTTAGCAGAGTTCGAGAAGAGTTGAGTGCCAAATACCGCCCATCCCAACGTTAACCTTCTACTTCGACCCATCTGAATCACTAGCACCCATGGCCGAACCAGAACCTGCACAACCACCACCAGAACAAATAGGCGTCGTCTACACTCCCTCCACCGATCCCCAACTTAAACCATCTACACCGTTTGGCAAAAAGGGCATCAAGGAATACATAGAGAACCTGCTCTCTGCTAACTTCAACTTTGTCCGCATTCAATGGGTCGACCTTATCAACGACATCAGATATCGCGTCGTCACTAAAGCGTACTTTGCGAAACTCCTCCATTCATCGGCGCGCCCAGGCGTGTCGATCACCAAATGCGCGTTAGGTCTCGTCTTTTTGTCGGTGGCTGATGGATTTAGGTAAGTGTTTCCCGTCTCCTCTTTCTATCTTGGAACTCGTAGTCTCACGTCCTTGCCGTTGGAAAGCCCTATAGGAGAATACCTCTACGTCCTTGACCTCTCTTCACTCCGACTGTGCGGGTACCAGCCTCGCCATGCAGCGATTATGGGTTGGTTTCAGGAGAAAACGCCGCTTCCAGGACGGAACGGACGACTATCGTACGAGGTCGATCTCTGTCCACGTACGATCCTTCGTCGAGTCGTCGAGTGCGTACCTTCCTCCCCCACTCTTTCTACTTCTGCTAACCAAAAAACATCCCCTTTAGAAAAGCCAAAAACGAACTCAGCCTCTCCTTCCTCATCGGCGTCGAATCCGAATTCATCCTCCTAACACAAACGCACCCCATTGAAGCAGTGAACAATCACGGATGGTCCAACTCCGCCGCTTTACCCTCCGGCTCCGTCGAGGCGAAGGTCTTGGAGGAAATAGCTGATGCCTTGAGCGCCGCTGAGATAGAGCTGCAGATGTATCATGCAGAAGCTGCCCCGGGACAATATGAAGTTGTTACGGGGCCGTTGGGTCCACTTCAGGCAGCGGACGCACTTGTGCATACGAGGGAGACGATTTACAATGTTGCTAGTAAACATGGGTTGAGGGCTACATTCGCTCCGAGGGTTTATATGGATAGCTGTACGTTTCTCTCCTCTCTACCATCCCACTATCTAACTAGCAAATCCACAAACACAGGCGGAAGCGCAGCACACACACACATATCCATTCACTCCTCCTCCCCACCCTCCCCTTCTACATCCTCACCAAACTTGACATCCCTCGAAGCCTCCTTCCTAGCCGGGCTCCTCACCCACCTCCCCTCCCTAACAATCCTCACACTCCCCCTCAGTGCCTCCTACAAACGTATGGTCGACGGTGCCTGGTCAGGGGGCACCTACGTCTGTTGGGGGACCGATAACCGCGAAGCCCCAATAAGGCTATGTAACGCCACCTCTCCCGCTTCCCGGAACTTTGAAGTGAAATGCGTAGATGGGACGTCGAATCCGTATCTGGCGTTTGCGGGGCTTATAGCGGCTGGCGTAGAGGGTGGTGTGAAGATCAACAGGGCACTTGAGGTGAGGGATTGTAGTGCCCATGGAGAACTTGGGAAGACGGCGGCGGAGATGGGGGAGGAGGAAAGGGTAAGGTTTGGGATTACGGAGAGGTTGCCGTTGAATTGGGAGGAGGCACGGGAGGCGTTTAGGGGTGATGCGGTGCTTGGGGAGGTGTTTGGAGAGGCGTTTGTTACGGGGTATTTGAATGTTAATAAGGTGCGGTTTCTGATTCTTGTGCTGGAGAGGACTGACTGATTGTGGGGTGTTTTGTTTCATAGACGTTGAAGGAGAAGATGAGTGTGAAGGAGAAGTTGACTGATGGGCTTGATGAAGAGGCGACTTTGAAGCTTCTTGTTGAGAATTACTGATATCACGAAGTTTATGGAGACGGATTCCGTTATGCTGCCAGCTTTTTTTTTGACCTTGTACATCTAACATGTAATTGTACAGCACTTGAACCTACATGGAAATACATGTCCTAAAAAGAGTACCAAAGACGAATAGAACAATATGTTAGTACACATTGTATCCGAAATCGTTGCAAACGATGTGCTCAAAAAAAGTCTGGGGAATTCAACGTTCGACGTCAAACTGAATCGAATCAATCCCACCAGAAGCTGTTCACCCCGAAATCTTGCCAAATATATCCAAAGCTCTCCTCAGCCCACCATGCATCCGCTTCTTCACCATCCTTCGTGAATTCTTCGTCGTCGTCGTCGTCGCTGCCCCAGCCGTCGCAGAGGTCGTCGTCGAAGCAGCCAACGGATTCCCACAAACTTCCGCATACACACAGTCCCTCCACGCCGCATACATCAACACCACAAAATTCTGTCCCTCTGGACTACCAGAAGTATACGGCGTCGTATCGTGCCAGTTCAGCGGGTTCACTGCTGGTGTTGCTATTCCTGTTTTGGTGATGTGTGGGTTGCCAGAGGCGTCGTATGCGCCTAGGACGGCGCGGATGTTGTCGGCCCAGGATATGTAACTGGAAACGGAGGAGGAAGAGGTGGGGTTGGAGGAGTTGGAGGAAGCAAAGACATCAGGACGGAGAACGGCCATTCGATATACTACGCTCGCCAATAGCGTACTCCCCGAAATCCCAGGGAACCCCTGTCCATCACCACTCGTATCATTCAAATAATTCCTCAACAACCCAAAGCTCATCGGTGAGCTCATCGCCCCGTCTAATATCTCCATGACGTACCCCGTCAACCCCTCCACCGCATCCGCCTGCGCAGTCCCATTGAGTTGTTGCGCGAAAGGGGATTTGAGAAAGGTAGCGAGGACGCGTGTCATCCCAGCTGCGGCCCACCCATTCCCCGTCGACCAGAGTCCGGTGTCTTGGTTTTGGGGACCCATGATGTGCATCCACGCTCCGCCGCTCGAAGGTTGAAGGACTTGTCGGTAGAGTTGGCATTGGGTGTATGATTGGAGGAGGATTGACGCGTTTGGGGTGTCTGCGCCGTAGTAGGCCAGGAAGGGTGGGACCATGTACACGAAGTCTGCCCTGGGCGCATGGGGTCAGTACTTGATGATGGAAAAAATGGGAAGAGAGGGGTACCAAAGCTCAGCAACGTCCGGACGATGCGATATCGCTCCATTCGACCATCGTGGGATCTGAGTGAGCAGCGCATCCACCGTCTCCTGCGCAGCAGCCATATACTCCCCATCCAACTTACCCAACATCACCGCACTCACCCCCAAACTCGACGGATCACCCGCCGCACCGCTACCTGCACTCAACGCCGCGTACCCCGTCCCAAAATCCACTTTCGACGACGCATAGTTCAAGGCGATGACCCTCGCTGCGGGTAGCGCTGGTATCGGGAACGGGGTCGCGCCAAAGACGGAGAATTGGGGCGTGAAGAGTTCGAGTTGGGCTTCGGCGGATGTGCCGTATTCCCAGGAGTAGCGGGGGAGGGATTGGGCGAGGGAGAGGACGTTTTTGATGGAGAAGCCTGGGTTGTAGGGGAGTGGGTTGTAGGTTGTTAGAGTTGCGGAGAGGAGGGCGATGGTGTTGAGGATGGTGTTGTTCCCCGCCATTGCAAGACGGTGAGGCCAACGTCGAGTGGCATATGTAGTTGTGCACAAAAGCAATTGTCAACGCGTCACGCGTCGTTCACAGCCAATGCTATTCACCAACTATTCACCTTCACTTACCACCATCACCTACAACGACGATGAGACGACCTGCCACAGCAACTTCAATGTGGAGAGCGTTCAGGGCGACGACGACTATGGGTGAAAGAAAGGTAAGCTGTGTTTCCGATCTCACATATCAAGCTTTCAAGTGCAAGGATGACGGTCGATTCAGGACGTCCGACTTTTTATGCAACAATCACAGCTTGTTTTTCATATTTCTACACGACGTACAAATCGTTAACTACATGAATACCCACTAAACTTCAACGACTTCGCACGAGACAGACCAACAGGGAGTGCTAATGGCAGTTCAGCGAGGCAGGGCGAGCGAGAGCGATGTCATGGATTGAAATCGATGATGAATGACAAGTGAAGGCCGGGACACATGTCGACGAGCTGTTTGTACTTGAGTAAGCCCTCTACAACTCAGTAGAGGTTGTTGCCGCTCACGTACCTTTCGCGATTCCCTAGACTGCAAGAAATGGCTTTTAAGGCGACAAAACAACGTTTATGGGAGAGATACGACTTACGTTCGTGAGGAGGCCGTCCGAAACAACATTACGCCGACGTTTGGACGGTTTGGCGGATGGTGAACGAAGGCGACAACGTGGATATGAGGGGATAAGCATGGATGACACGTCGACATGCTGTTTGGACATTCGGTAAGTCGTCTGCAACTCAAGAGACAGTGTTGCGGCTCACGTACCTTTCCGCACAAGTCACGGTGAACCCCACAACGATGATGATACGACCTGCCTCGAGATGGCAAGTCAGGCACGACTTCGCGCAGGACAGACGAGCGGGGGGGTGTTGATGGCAGTTTACCGAGCGATGGTAAGTGAGGGCGGAGAGGATGTCGATTGGGTGGTTAAGAATGGAGGACACGTTGACGGGCCACGGCAGCTGCTTGGACATTGGGTAATTCTCCATGAATATTGCTGCCGCCCACGTACCTTTCCTTACGATTCACGAAGACCTCCTAGACTGCAAGAGACTTCTACCCCGACGAAATGACCTACAGAAACGTCTTACGTTCGTGACTACGACATCTAAACAGCCCTACTCCGAGGTTTGGGCAGCGTAGAGGACTGTGACGCGCTGAAGTCGCTAACTACACGAATAGCGACTACATTTGACAAGATCGCGTTGGTCAGCAGACCAATGGGAGGTGGTGACGACGGTTTGGCGAGCGATGGCGATGGCGACGTGGGTTTGAGTGGATGAGGACAGACGACACGTTGACACGGGCTGTTGCGATACTGGGTAAGTTAACTATAGTTCCTTAGACATTGTTGCCGCTCACGTACCTTTCCATACAAGCGCACAATCAACCTTTTGTCGACCAGTGTTAATGCGATGGCGTCTAGCGTGCTTTGTGTGTCAGGGTGGTGAGGCAGTGCGAGAACGTGGGGTGGGCATAGGAAAGGGCACGATGGTGGATTGGGCGGCAGAACGGGAACTTTAGGCGATGACGTGGCTATGAGAGGATGAGGACGGACGACACGTCGACAAGGGCTATTGTGACATGGGGTAAGCCATCTACAATTCCCCAGACAACTTGGCCGCTCACGTACCTTCCATACAAGTCCACAATGTACTCTTGTCGACCAGTGAAGGCGTGATGTCGTCTAGCGCTTGGCTAAGCACTGTGGGTGTCACAACCACCCCTTAGACTGTAAGAAACGACTTCTACGCTCACTAAATAACGTAGAGAAACGACTTACGCACGTGAGTAGGGAACAACATCGCTTTGAGGTCTCGACGGCGAGCACTCCAAGTACTGGATGATGAGGCGGTGCGAGAACGTGGGGGGTTGGCATTGGAGAGAGGGCGTGATGATGGGTTGGAAGCGGATGGGGAGCGGAACGGGAAGTTCTGCTTTCGCTTTGGGTAAGTGGTCCACAGCACCATTCCACTATCAAAATTCACGTACATTTTGTAGAACCGCGTCAATTGCAATGAAGTCGCGGAGCTTCAGCTTCAATGCGGGTAAGTCAATGCAGCGATCGTTCGTGAAGGATTTGACATACGCTAGCGCTCATGCCAGAACTTCCCAACCTTTCGGCTCTACGGTCACATTCTCCCCGGCTAATTCGACGACTTCTCACTGGTGGTCTCAAGCGGCGCGGACGAAAGCGTTCATGGAGTTAGTTGAGATCCTGTTGCACGTTTGACATCGAAACATCATGTAAGTTATCTTTGTTGATGTGCGGGTTATACGACGACACTGACCTGATATTCAAAACATCCAATAGACTCCTGAAACCACGTGCGAGCGTATCAGCAAAGAGAAGGAAGAGAAGAAGTAGATCGGGGTACTCACTGTGGGCGGCATCGCAGACGACTTTAACTTCTGCGGAGGACAATCAGCAACAGAGAAACACATTTGTGAACGAATGGGCTTACCGACTGGGGATGATTACGATGAGCAAGCAAGATGGAGTGAAGGGCGTTGCCGTCGAGAGGGAGGAGGAGGAGAAGGAGGAGAACGTAGTAAGGTAAGGGAGGAATGGAATCCTATCGAAAACAAAGCTAATTCAGCCCTTTTATACATTCAGCAAGATCACCGAGAGTACGTACGCGTGACCCTTGTAGCCGGACTGGTTACGCACATCAACAAAAAATATTCTAGGGTCCGCTGAAGATTACAGGGTTCACAAATTCAGGAAATCGACGCGGAGGAATGGTCCTTGTTCTTGTTGTTTCTGGTGTATATCATAATTCCGGAGCTAATCCCCCCTCACACTGACCGCTTGTTTTGTAGATACATCGGGTACCTTGTCGTCGAATTTAGTTCTGTCAATTGAGGTCTAAACAAAATCCATAAATATCCGCAGTTTCCTCCCCTCGCTTACTTGTGTACAGTGAAGTTGGAAGATATTTCAAACCAGGGCTACAATGGGCTATGCACGAACCCTAAGCGGACCTATCATCATACATGCGGAATAAACAGAATTCAACGGAGAGGAAAGAGACACAAATTTTGTGCGCCTAGATCCTCGTTACCTATCTTGCAGCACCCGAAAATCCAGAAGGCCTAACAGAGACAGATCAGATACAGGTAACTAAGTAAGGCCCTGATGCGTGTCCCTGTCAGTTTCAAGGGGAAATTTCAAGCATGTTATGTTGCAGCAGTGAGGGTGGGGAGGAGGAGAAGGACTTGGCTAGAGTGGTAGCTCAAACTTCTCAATGAGACACTTACAACCTTAGTCACTTCTACAAAATCAATACAGTGGTATGTTAAAAAATGAAGAAGATTGCGCAACTTGGGTACAAAGGAGGCAATATTGTGGAATGGTGCAAAGATACATAGATCCCCACTAACGAACTTCTGGCAATGGAAGTTCCAGAATGCTAGGCACAAAATATTCCAAATACCATTTTAACAGGACCCTGACAGGTAATATTGTCAGTTTGAAGTGGAAATTCCAAGCACAACAATCATAGTGCAGATGATGGGGAGGAGGAGGGGAGAGAAGAACAGGTATCACTAGACTTAGTGCACAAATAAGCTCTGTTCAAGAGCAGGTTCACTTTATTACCGATGGTAATATTCATAGACTACTAAAAATTGTTATTCAAATAAGTGGAATACTGTACTATTTCCTTCAATTTGGCACCCAGCGTGATGCATTACCAGCCTACTGAAATTTTTATTTTGGCAGATGCCAGATTTGAGTGTGACATCCAATTATTTTCAGCATGTATGGTAAATATTGTTCAGGCAGCAAGTGTAATGTGTGCTGGTGGTCTGTACAAGGATTCCTAGAATATGTACATGAGGATAGCAGTGGTATCATGAAAAATAAGAGAAATAAGAGGTCTCAAGAAAGCAATACTTAAATGACTGGGTATCAGATGAACCGGCACAGTGTGCATCCAAAATTGCAAAATTTGCCCTCATTTCATAACCAAGATGGTCAACAACAGCCCACTGCTACCTCAGATCCCCCCCCGAAATACAGCAAGTTGTCCTTCCCCACAAGGATATGTCTATTGTTGACTTTTTGAAGTTTCCCCTTCCTGCACCAGCTTGAGCTGCAAACAGATCCTTTGACCCATCACAAAAACCTTCTTTCCAACCTAACACCCACCATCATGGGGATCAAAGAAATCCACGTAATACCAACACCACCTCTTGCGATTGTAAATGAACTCATTAAGTCACCAGAGCTTTCAAAATCTAATTCAGTCCACTGTTTTCATGCACCAGAACTGATTACACACTGGCTACCCTGATGGGTCATCTTTTATTGGGTACAAACCTTTCATTTGCAACCACTGAAGAAGAAATGGTTAGATGCAGAAGAAGCTCTATGCAAACAGGAGCACAGGAAGGGGCATATGGATCACACATCAGCAAACCTACAGATTACTTGTCGGCTTTTCGCGACTTTTTGCAGCTGACAGCTTGTTGACAAGTCACAAGCTGAAAAAAGCTCGCAAGTCGACAAGTTACTGCCAGAACAATTGCAGAATTACCTATCTTAGTACAATTACATTTAGTCTTGTAGATATTACATGTGAGATGGTCAGCGAGATAACTTGTAGACTACGGCTCCCATTTCTTTCGACTTGGGCTATACAACCCAAAAGTGTGTCTCTGATTCAGGACTACCACCTACAGGGATTAGCCAGTGAATAAGAGTGTATGAGACAACTCTCAGAATTGAATGAAAAGAAAAGGACGCACCCAAATCATCATGCCCGGAGCTCCGAATCAAACACAGCGTCGTAGCGCACATATTCGTTATGCCAATTGGGGTTGGAGCGGATACGCTTGCGGTACATCCCACCTGCAGAGATCACATCGGAGCATAGCGTGGAACTGGAGTATGGGTCAATGGCCCATGCGAGTTCGAATTGTGCAGGAGGTCTTGTGGGTTTATCAGTGGAGGGCAGTGCAGCTTTAAGTCAATGGGATTGCGGAATTTACGAGCATGGTCAAAGCGCGATCACTGCATGAGTGGGAAGGGGTCTGAGCTGTAGGGGGGAATGGGGGAAAGCAGGAACGTCTTTGGAAGGAAAAGGAAAATGGTTCAACTTGCTTATGTAATCATCCGTAACTAAGATACGTGAATTGTGCATGGTGTGCTAACGTCTCCCAACACCCCCTTTGATCTTGTCCTCACGTCAAACAACTATGTCTGCACAATTCTCCGCTAAGGGCGCTGATGAGGGGTACGTGAGCTTGACTGTGATTATCACTAATTCCTGCCGGCTCACGCAAGACCAGGTATGAATACGAGGCCCCCACTCCAATTACTTGAGGGCTACAGTTGCCGACTACCTAGCAGCCGCAGACCCGTCGGCACTCCAACCACCTGGGTTCATCGACTTTCTTCCAGCGCGAATCATTGCTGCTTTTGACCACCTCCCACAAGGTGCCCACCCCCTCGTCATCTCGACCAAACACCAGACGATTATATGTCCCTTGATCAGGCATCTTACTCCCTTCCGCAAGTCCGATTACTTTCTAGGCTCTATGCCCGTAGACGTGGACGACCTCGCATTTTGGAAACGGAAAGATGCACTGTGAGTGGCCAATGTGAAGCATCTTTGACATACTCCTTCATCTTCCACCGCCATAGTCCAGTACGCGGCAAGCTAAACCTTCGACCCAACTTTGGCTGCAGGTACTCAAGCTAAAGGTCGACTTTACGTGCCTCCAGACTCCATGCAGGTCGGTGTCCTTTCCTGTCATCAACCTCCTTCTACTGTCTCCGTTTCGGTGTCGATGGTATTGCTTTCGCTTTTGTCTCCCACTAGCATGATCCTCCAACTGCACTTTCACTTTTGTTCGCTACCTCTTTCCTTCAATTTACCCTCCAATCTCGTCGTTCCACTTGTCCCGCTCCTCGCCTCCACCTTTCTGACGCACCTTTGTGTCTAGAACCTCCCATGTTGCACTCGACATACAGGACCTCGTCATACACCTGACCTCTCTGACCGTCCCTACCAAATATAATGATTCGGAGATCTCACGACCAGCCTGCAATGGCAAGATGGAGGAGGGGTTGGCAGCAACAGCTAGTGGCGTGAGGTATTATCTGTAGTTGGAGCGAGCATTTGTTGTCCCTATTCATTGAAGTATATCCTGCTAATATTATACAATAATTTGATAATGCTACCCTGTGTTATTGAAAGCCGAAAATTAGGCTGTAACTTTTCTCAACTTGTCAGCTTGTGAGAACTTGTCAGTTAATTTCGCGACCCAACTTGTCAGATTTTTGGATCTACTTGTCAACTTGTGACTTGTGGCTCGTTTGGACTCGTTTGGACTCGTACGAGTCGAAAAAAGCCCAAACAAGTCGTGACAAGCGGAGTGTAGAAATACTGATGCATGAAAGGCTTGATCAACGGTGTGTACAATGTGTTAGCATGCATCTCGTGGGCTGGGAACATCAAAGAGTTCTTAGCTTTAATTAGTGTTCACAGGTCTGGTTCAGTCCGGTTCTTTGCCCCGAAAACAGGCAACCGCAGACCGCAACCGGTCTAGGACCAACCCAGATATTGAGGGAACCAAACCGGACCACCTAGGACCGGTCTTTTGCGGTCCATGGACCGCGTTCAAACTGATTCAGACCGGTCTTTTTGCGTAAAATTTGTCATACCAATATAAACCATTTGTATCTCAATGATTATTACTCTAAAAATAAACTGGTTACATATAATAGTATAACATATAAATACCCATCATTCCACCAATTTTTAAGAAATTTAATGAAGGTTTGACATAGCTATGACTGAAACCGAATTACATCTCCTAAAGACTCGGGCAAAATGTAATGCGGCAACTGTAAATTATTTGATGCATACCATATATTGATAGATGGTGAGTATATTTTCATACTTAAAATGTCAATATCCAAAAATTGAATCAAGCAAAATGATGAAAGTTTGAGTGAGTTAGAATTAAAGTCATTCTGGTACAAGTTGCACAAACAAGTATTTGTGCCAAAATGGATTTAATTATATCTTTCTCAGTTCTTAACCATTTTTGATGAACTAAAAACCCAATTAAAGGTAATAGACGTGGTTACAAGGCTACGTAACGCACGTGACTGTTTAACCGGTTGCAACCGATTTAAACTGGTCTTTGAACGGTTTTAAAAGATTTTTGAAATGAGGCAACTGGCAACCAGACCAACCCCAAATTTGGGCAACTGCAACCGAAAAAAAGACCGGACCATGGTCCGGTTCAGTTTGGTCCACCGGTTTTTTTCGGTCCTATGGACCGGACCTGTAAACACTAGCTTCAATATCAACAGAGAATCTCACCACATACCTGACCAAGGCCTGGTTTACGCATGAACATGAGAACCAGATGCTATACCTGCTCCTAGTGTTCGCAAGTTCAGTTCAGTCCGGTTTTTTGCCCCCAAAACGCGCAACCGTGGACTGCAACCGGTCTAGGACCAACCCAGATATTGAAGGAACCGAACTGAACCGAACCACCCAGGACCGGTATTTTGCAGTCTATGGAGCCAGTTCAGACCGATCCAGACCAGTTTTTTTGCATATAATTTATTATACCAATATAAACCATTTGTATCTCGACTATTATTACTCTGAAAAATAAACAGGTTATATAAAATAGTAAAGCATGTAAATACCTGTCATTCTACCAATTTTTAAGAGATTTAATGAAGATTTGACACAGCTATGACTGAAACTGAATTACATCTCCTAGAGACTTAGGTAAAATATGGATTTGGTTATATCTTTCACAATTCTTAATGGTTTTTGATGAAACAAAAACCCAATAAAAGGTAATAAACGTGGTTACAAGGGTATGTAATGCACGTGACCGTTTAACCAGTTGCAACTGATCAAAACCGGTCTTTGAACGGTTTTAAAAGATTTTCGAAATGAGGCAACTGGCAACCAGACCAACCCCAAATTGGGGCAACTGCAACCGAAAAAAAAGACCAGACCATGGTCCGGTTCAGTTCGGTCCACTGGCTTTTTGCAGTTCTATGGACTGAACCTTTAAACACTACCTGCTCCAACAGGATGTTTCAAGGGAGAGAAGGGATGACAGGATTGATGTTTGCAACACCTTCTTTGTGAAGTGGCTTCAAGCTCGATTTATTGCAGAATGCAGAGGGGTGCAACCAATACACAACTGCCACTAACTACACATGGCTCTGAGAACAAGGGCAGGAGTTGGCAACTGGGGTTTTTGATACAATGGCAATGATCATGAATATTGGGGAGGACCACTGGGTTGTGCTCATTGTGGACTTCAAGGCATCAAAGATTCTGTATGGCGATTCAATGGGGGGCACCATTGATGAAGGTGTTGAGGAAGCTCTTACCTGGTGGATCAGTCAACACACTGGAACACAATTCACAACAAGTTACCTACCAATAACACACCAACGAGATGGCCATTCGTGTGGAATCTTGGCATGGATCACACTTGCATTCTATCTGTTCCTTGACAAATATTTGCTGGTAGATGCTGGAGTTGTTGCAGATGAGAGGTTGAAGATGTTTCTTTGAGTTTTAGAACGTCATAATGACAAGGTGACATGTTACTACCACAATAAAGAGTTTGATCCTAAAAGAATTAGTCGTTCGATGCAATTGCCAAAGGTTATGGATTTACCTTCCACACAACAACATCAGAGTCGTCTGATGATGAGATAGAGTCCTCAGGACCTAGATGGATCTCCAGCGCCAGCATTGATCATGTTGCTGAGGTGGAGGAGATGTATTAGCCCACGAAGGAAGAGATCTCAGAAAGTACTACACCTTCTGGCTCCACACCTGTGGTCACACACACTCCCCTTCCAATGATCCCACTCCCAATGACTCCTCCACAGGCAAGCAGTTTGAAGTGAACCTTAACACCAGGGTCTTTGCCACATGTAGATGGAAATAAGAAGCTGAAACTGAAGAAGATTGCCTCAGCCACCCACAGGAACTCAAGACTATCGATCTCGGTAGCCGACCACGGCCTTCCACAGCACTAGACGTATGGCCTATGGTGAAGCCAAACCACGCTGCAGCACGTCGTTACTGAGAAGCCACAGTGCTCCACAACGCAGATGAAACGCATCTGCGGCGGTCTCGTCTGATTCAAACCCACGCAGCAATCCCTGCCCGATGACGACGTCAAACACCCCACCGGAAGTTGATCTCCTTGATCGCATGTCACCCGTACGCTCGTCCTCCGTCCCCTCTCCCCCATGCCAAGTGTGCGACATTTCGCTGTTCCACTGCCAACCCAAGCATCGCACTAGTGGCTACCACTGGTTATCATATAAAACAGGTAACTGCCTATAGGTCCCTGTGTATCCATCCACACTCTTTATGATAGGGAATCATTACTGTTACCATGTTTTTTCATTATCATAAAGGCTGCGCTTTTTCATTAAGTGTAGGCAAGGTTTTGGGCCTCCCTCATAAGGTAGCCTGTGGTTATCATTACCAATTTCATATCTTTTCAAAGCCATATCATTGCGATTTTCATTAGTTGTCTGGCGAGTATCATTGGATATTTCATTAGCTACATGGGTGATATCATTTTGCGATTTTCAATGGTTACTTTGGCAATATCATTGGAAATTGCATATGCTACTTGGGCAATATCATTGCGATTTTCATAAATTATGTGGCCAGTATCATTGGAAATTTTATTAGCTGGTTGTGCAATATCATTGGCAATTTCATTAGCTACTTGGGCGACATCATTGTGATTTTCATTAGCTACTTGGGCAATATCATTGCGATTTTCATAAATTATGTGGCCAGTATCATTGGAAATTTCATTAGCTGGTTGTGCAATATCATTGGCAATTTCATTAGCTACTTGGGTGACATCATTGCGATTTTCATTAGCTACTTGGGCAATATCATTGCGATTTTCATAAATTATGTGGCCAGTATCATTGGAAATTTCATTAGCTGGTTGTGCAATATCATTGGCAATTTCATTAGCTACTTGGGTGACATCATTGCGATTTTCATTAGCTACTTGGGCAATATCATTGTGATTTTCATTAGCTCCTTTGGCAATATCATTGGAAATTTTATTAGTTACTTGGGCAATATCATTGTGATTTTCATTAGCTACTTGGGCAATATCATTGCGATTTTCATTAGCTCCTTTGGCAATATCATTGGAAATGTTATTAGTTACTTGGGCAATATCATTGGCAATTTCATTAGCTACTTGGGCGACATCATTGCGATTTTCATTAGCTACTTGGGCAATATCATTGCGAT